CCCTGGACCTTGGAGATTGATGGGCAAAACTGGAATATTACACCTGACCCCTAGACTCGATTATGATACTGCACTAAGTGTCGGATTGGGCTGTCTTTGATATGCCAATCAGTGAGATCCTTAGAGGGGGTCAAAACCTGGGTATGTTGGAACAGTCCGAGAATTCATCTGAGTGGGTGATCATAGTGACAGGATCAGCCCCTTTGTCGGACAAAGTGAATGATCAGGGATGCACTCCCTCCGATGGAAACCAAAGTTGTCGGTAGTCGATTTCAACCGTTGAAATTTGTTTTGCAAAATATATTTATATAGAGATATACATATATATATTATGGTTTCAAAATGTTTGCAAAAGGGAGAGGTCATCTCTTGTCGGGCGGTGTTTGATCATTATGGCCTGAGAGGTTAAGTGTAAGATAAGGGATTATCCTTATCTCTTAAGGCTATAAATAGAGGAGGAGGGCGAACCCCAATTCATCCATCAGATTACAGATTCAAGAGAGAAGACAGCACCAGTTGGACTGACGCCATCTTCTGCTCTTGCCTTCTACTGTTGCCGCCATAGCCAATTCGATCTCCACCTGTAGGAGCGATCAAGAATGGTTCTTGATATCAGTTTTTGGAGAAAAACTGATCTGAAGTCGTGCTCACTCGCCCTCCATCAGATTCTTGGTGAAGAATCATGTTCTTGCTGAAGGACCACCCTGCTGATTCTGCTCCACCCTACACTGTGTCATCTTCAGTGGGAGAAGTCTTTGGAGATCTCCTTGGGCGTGAACACCTTTATTGGGAGTTACTACTACTCTGCATCAGGTATATCCCTCTCCTACCTTTTTGGTTTCAGATCTGGTCTGGTTTAGGGTTCAAGATTGATCTTTGAAAATGCAGTTTTCTAAAACAGGGAATGTGATTCCCAGCTGGGAGAGAGAGAAATTTTTGAAATTTCGCCCAACCTACCTGCAGGGTTCGGTTATCCATATGATGGATCTCTCATCCCTTCACATCACACTTCCAATTCACATTTTGATAGTGATCCAGTTCTTTCCAGATCGATATCATATCTGAGTAGTACACTGAGAGACTCCTCTCCGCCTGCTTGCAAGTAGAGGATTCAACTTGCAGTTTGTATATCTTGGCATAGTGCCTTTGCTTTGAATAAGTAGACTTTGCTTGTTCCCATATTTCACAAGTTGTTTCAGCCCACATGAATGTCTTTCTTACCTGTGGCAGCATGGAAACCAAGAGCCATGACATCACCATACTATTTTCTTGGTTTCACCTATCATATTCAGCACTTCCATTCTTCGGTTCCTTCACTTTCTCATTAATATATCCTATTTTCCCCCTGGCAGTGATGTAGAGTTTTATTCCCTTAGACCATTCAAGGTAGTTTGGTCCATCGAAGGGGATTACAGCCATGGGAAAACTCATATCCATTCCCCCACTCAGTCCATTATGACTTCCTGAAACCCCCGAAGTAGCAGAATTCTCAGAGGACATGGTCAAAACAGAATTTCAGTCTCAACACTCGACTTAGGATCCCTCCTTTCAACAAGAAAAAAAAATTCTCCACACACGTACTCAATCCACACACAAACTACGGTTTGGACTCAATCTGAGTACAAAACAGCACCAACTTCCAAACAAAAGAGGCAAGACCAGACTGATTTCAGACCTGTATGGGTTAACAATCCCAACCTACCAACCTTCCAGAATGTCTAAGAACATTAATCATCAGGAGAGATCCTTAACACTTATAATCAAGCCAAAAACTGGAGCTAACAGGTCATTCATGAACTACAGTCACCTTTTCGCAGGTACAGGATCACACGATCCAAAAAAAAGGAGGTATAAACCTCACAAAGGTCTGACAGCATTCAGCAGCCCAAATTCGTTGGATTTTTTTCTTGGTACATGACCAAGGAAGGTAAAAAAAGAAAAAAGAGAGGACTGTTCCAGTCATAGATCTGTTTTGTTCAAACCAGATTCAGTTCTCTGTTCTGCCCAGATTCAGCAAGCCGAAAAAGGAAAGAAAGCTTGTTCGATCTGCTCTCACAGTCAGTATTCCCGCTCTGATACCATCTTGACAGTGTGGCTGGCCTGAAATAAGAGAGAAAGGGAAGAGAAGAAGAAGAAAGAAGGGAGAAGAGCAGAGGAAAGATTGGCGACCAATGGAACAGTGCTGGCAGTGCCAGCTTCTATTAGTATTTATAGGGCATCTAAAATAAAAGGGAAAAAGACCCTTGTTCCCCAGCTGTAAGTAAAGTACAATAACAGAAAATAAAAAAGGCTTTTAACCAACCAAACAGACCCTAACAAGACAAAATTAATAGACAAGAAATAAAAATAAACTATTTCAACATTTCCTTAACAAGAAAGGATTGCCCAAGACTGTCAAAGGGTTGAGCTAAGGCTTTGAAAAACGAGGCACAAGTAAAACTACTAGAACGAGAAAGGGTCCAAATCCGAAAATCCAATTTTGATCAAGAAAACCTTTGTAAAAGTTGAAGCAGTGCCAAGGCATTGTCCATATCCGAGTCTATAATTCCCCTCCTAAAACCCAAGTCCCATTCAAGCCAAGAACCCACTACAAAAGAAGACATGAAGGTGCACAAACTCATTTTTATAGTTAAAGATGGAGAACAAAGAAGGGAATTGATCTTTTAGTGGCAAACCCACTCAAACATGTTCCCAAAACTTTACAAGATCCCCAGAGCACAGGTAATACCTGAAAACTTATAGGAAGGATGGTAGGATGGCATGTATAGATTTCCAAGGAAAAGCACTAGTAGCTCGAGCCATCACTCCTGCATTCCAGCCCTAACCCACCAGCCCATGAATGCTTAAAATCACATTACCCACAATTTATCACTATCCACTGGCAATCTCCATAACCACTTTCCTAAAAGTGCCATATTCCTCTTCTGAATGTTCCTAATTCCTAAACCACCAAAGCTCCTACTACATACAACTTCCAAGCTGCCCTAGGCCATATCTTTGCTACTCCAGTTCCCGCAAAAAATCTCACTAGTTTCTTCAAGCCTCTTGCACATCCCCAATGGGATTTTGAACACTGATAACAAATAAACAGGAATGCTGGCCAAGGCTGATTTTATCAATGGAATTTTGCCACACAAAGATAGATAGTTCCTCTTCCAAGAAGCTAACCTCTTTGTAAATTTGTCAACCACAGGGTTCCAAAAACTTCCACTAGTCGGGTTATCTTCCAAAGTAAGGCCCAAATAATTCATTGGCCATTAGGAAACTTCACAACCCAAAATAGTAGCACAATCTAAAACCTCCCTCACATCCATATTGACCCCTACTACACAGCTCTTATTAAAATTAAATTTTAAATGACATTTGCTCAAAGAGTTGAACTACCAATTTCAAATTTCTCACCAATCTGAGATCATCTCCCTCACAGAATAAAATCGTATCGTCAACAAATTATAAATGAGTAATAGGCAATCTATTCCCTCCCACTCTCCACCTTCTCACCAACTCTCTCAAATCTGCTCTATGGATTAACTTCCCTAAGACATCAACAACTAAGGCACTAAGGCAACAAAAAGGGGGAGAGAGGGTCTCCCTACCTAATTCCTCTAATAGCTGGAAAATGATCCACTACAATCCCATTCACCAAAATTGAATAGTGTCAAGTTCTAACACACCCTTGAATCCATTTACACCACTAATCTCCTCACCCATAGTTTCTCATCAGTTCCATTAAAAAGGACCAATCCACTAGGTCATAGGCCTTCTCCAAATCAAGATTATTAAACCCTTTTTACCAGTTCTTTTCAACTCCAGACTCTATTAGCAATTAAGATCTCATCAATAATCTGCCTATTCTTTACAAACTCCTAGAAAGCGCTCATGCTTAGAAAGTCCTTGTTCATAAATTTAATATCAAAACCAGTGTTTTGAAAGGCATGTGAGCCTCGAGCATTAAGACTAAGGAAAAGGCCTTGAGGCTCAAGCATAACAATATAAGGCACAAACCCCATACCTTGAGACTCCTTATGCCAATAATATGTATTCTACACGTTAATTGAAAGCCTAGGAAACCAGGCACCCTTGGCTGAGCACCTTGCCTAAATGCCTTGCTTATAGCAACAAGATGCTTACCTAGCTAACTAGGCACATAGGTGATAAAAACACATTATACACATACACTTTATTTTAAAGTCATACTACTGAAACTTAAAAGATATAAGGATTTTCAGAAGCAACAGCAAACTATCCCATCGACCTATTTGGGAGTTACCCAGTTTTTTCATTTTGGATCCTCCTCTTGTCATCAATAGTTCCCTGCAACACCAGCATATTTTTGAAGGAAAAGCAGAAGATTTCTCAAGCTTTGCATGGACGCTAGCAGCCTGAACTTTGGACTAGGTTTTCTCAGGCTTTGCATTCAACTTGTTGGTATTTTGGGTGTAGAGGATGGCAAATTATGAACCATTACAGCAAACTGTAAACTATCACTTTGATAAAAAGTTATTGTAAAACGTCTTTTTATACACCTTCAGGTTCATACATATTCATAAATTTTATGAGTACCTATTAAAAGAATGTTAATCAGGGACCACCAAGAACATTATTGATTGCAAACTTTAGGTACATCTCTCTTCTAACCCCCCCCCCAATTAACAAGCAGTAAGACATGCAACACCCAGGGGTCTAAGAATTAAATCTAAGAGCATGAACTAAGGCACCTACACCAAAGCAAAAAAGAACAAAAAATCAAAAACAAAGTGTATCAATATGGAGAACAAAAGTTTATTTATCAATAGGGAAAAACAGATAAAGGCTGTAGATTCCTCAATAAAAGACAAAGGGGAATAATGTTAATCTTCTCATTTGTGCAATAATAAGTGCATTTATTATACTAGCCAAAGAAATGTTCAGACAAGTTGAAATTTAAAAACTATTCACATAATAAAATCGAGTAGAAAAATATCAAAAACACCAACAGAAAATAAGGGGGAGGAAATGACCTACTATCAAGAGGAACAGCAAAATTGTTCAAAGCCAACACACAAGATACTGACTGCAAAATGACCAAACAAAAAAGAGATATAACGTCTGGGGCAATATCAAATATAAGATTAAATAACATGAAATAAAAGTTAAACAACAGATAATAATATTAAGCAACAATTAAAAGCATGCCAAATTTACTACAGAAATCAAAATGCAGAGATAAGGATAAAGGACCACCTGACTGTGATAATGGATGGTGTTTGAACCAATTACAAGCACTCCACCAATTGGAGAAGGAACAGCAAGAAGCTTGTAGGCATCATGTGGAAGATTCTGATGACAAAACAAAAAGAACAGGGATTATCTGTATATGAGGTTTTTTTTTGGGGGGAGGGGGGGAGATGAGAAAACTAAGAGGTCACACATTACTGCAGAACAGAAACCTTAGTTTGTTTTTGTGTTCATGATAGAATCAAATTGTTCCTGAAAGGCAGGATGCCTATATCACCATAATAATTTCTTTTATGGATTATCATAGTGATAAAATATATTTTTTTTATAAATATTACCATAGTGATAAAATATATTACGAAGAGAAGAAATGGAAAAACAGGAGTAGCTATGCTAGACCATTTATTTCTGAAATTGTACAAGTAATTTAACTAGAATCTCAAATATTGACACTCTTGTTTTCATCAATAACAAGGTTTAAAAAGGTAGACTATCATGAATTACTAAGGAAAACAGGAGTACTTGATTAGGGCCTCAAGGACTCAACTCAACTTGGAGTCCATTGAATTATTAGTTACATATCCTTTGAAAGCCTTCAAAACTTTTTGATTTCATTTCTGAAGTACTAAGGAGTCTTTTCATCTTGTTTCAACCAACTTATAATTATTTTTGAATCTCCTCCAATTATCAGCTTCCCAACCCCTATCTCCACAGATTTTTGCAACCCAAGCATCATTGCATTCAACTCAGCTTTTGTGGAATCCCCTTCTCCAAGTGGTCCTGAAAACAAATCCACAATTACTCCACTTTCATTCCTTATCACCCCTCCAATTCCATATGGATCTGGATTACCAAAACTAATGCTATCAAAGTTTAATTTAAGGAAGCCATTCTCAGGTGGAACCCAATTCCTTAAAGTATTCTTCTTAGAAGAGGATGAGGCTGCAACTGTTCCCCAATTTCTGATTACATCATCAAAAAAGCCTGAAAATAAATTCAAAGACTTTACCCAATGTACCACCTTTACCAAAATGCCTTCTATCACAACTTCTTTTCTTTTCATTAAAAATTCTTATATTTCTTTCCTCCCAAATTGTCCAAATCACTGCTGCCCTCGTGCATCTCCATAGTACTCTCCCCCTTCTTTTTGGCCACCTGAAGGTAGCAGAATCAAATAACCTATCCAAACTATTTGGGGTAATCCACCTGCAACCAAAAAGAGAAAAAAAAACAATCCCAAATACAGCAAGCAAAAGGGCAGTAATTAAAGAAGATGATAAGCAGTTTCACCGCAAGATTCGCATATGATACACCAATTTGGGAAAAGGCACCAGCCAGGTCTTATCATAGACGCACTATTTGTGGGGTGGATCAATCAAGTCTGGTATCCCCATTAAATTTAGATGGGTTCAGTTTCAGTTGATCCAAACCCATACCACACCCAATCCAAATCCAAAGATGTCCCTACTCACTAAAGTAATGGAATAAGAAATTTAGACAAAAGCTGTAGATTTTGGTCTCATTCAATTGCCGAAACGTTTGTTTTCCAGAAATTGGGGGTTGTTCAGTAGGACCTAAGGATGTCAATGGATCAGGTTCATCAATGGTTTTAGCTTAAACCGAAGTACTGAACCCAACCCAACCCAATCTGTCTAAAGAAAATAGAAATCCAAACATGATCCAACCTGCCCCACAAATGGTGCACCTGTACTCAACCCAGGCTATTTTTACAAATTTTTCAATGCTATATGTCAATGGATGGCTCTGCTGTGAGGCAGCCTTGACCCAAACCCAACCCTAACCTGATAGGGTCAGCTCAATGCCTCTACAGTGCTATAAAAAGACATTTGAAATTTGCTTAAAATAATGAAAACTGTTAAAATTGAAAAAGTAATGTGTATTAAATAATTCAAAAATAGTAAACAAGGCAAGGTGCCATTTTTGAAAAAGAAAACAAAAGAAAATTTTAATATATTATCCATCAAAAAAAGCTAAATATACAAGACTATGCAAATCTAGATTCTGAGAGACAAAATATTTCAAAATTACATGTTAGGTCAATTAATATGTTATTAACACAAAGGCTGTAGCCTTAAAACATTCAATTCCTATATAGTCCAATGAGTCATTTGATAATGGCTGGATTGGCTGAGTTAAATGATTTGTTTCTCTACCTTTCAATGAATAAGATAATTAAATAATAAAATAATCATGGGTATACTACTGACCAGCTGAACTACAGCTTCAGCCTTCAGACATTAAGGGGGTCATAACAATACATAATAACTTATTCACTAAAAGACAAAGCAATAAGTCATTCAGTTCACCCACTTCATCTGTCATCAAATGGCATATAATTGTTTAAACTCTAAGAGACTCATTGATAATGGCTAAAGTGACTGGTCTAATGATTTATTACCTTGTCTTTTGATAAAGGGCAGCCCTTCACGAGGCTCCCACCAATGCAGGGTCTGGGGAGGGACAGATGTTGATGCATAAAATAATTAAATAATAAAATATTTGATGGTATAGTAACCGACCCAATTCCAGTTTCAGTCATTAAGAAGCTTGCAACCTCCTCAATAACTTCCACTAAAATACAAATCAATAAATAATTCAGTTCAGCTACTTCAGCCATTTAGTGTAATTGAACAGTCTCTAAACATCATGCAACACCCCACAATATAGTAAATTACACATTTAACAACAAATCCAAACTATAGTTCATCAAAATACAGCAACAAGCCAGGAAAGGACATGTGTTCAGGCAGGCACAACCAACAAGATGAGCCTCACCCATGAGCCAAGTATCACAATGGTGCACCTTTTAAAACACTAGCCTCATCTCAACTGTATTTGCAGTCAGCAACACAAATATGGACTTATTACAGTATGATTATATGAACTGTATTTGATAATGGAGAAAGCATACTTACAACAGCAGACCATATGAGGGGATGTTGTTTCAAGGTGGTGCTAATACTAAGAGCAGAAACCATGCATGTGTGATGCTTCCATGAGACACGACCAGCCCAGGTAAGCTCTCGTTCATGAAGGATTACCATCACAGGCTCAATATACCCTTCATGGTAAGAAACATAAAATAAGACAAACAAGTATTAATGAATGACAAACTCATTCTTGTCAAGTCATAATTTAATGAATGACTTAATACAAATCTTAGTCTACAAGTTCAAGAAAAAAAAAAAAAAGAAAAAAATTCTCCAAACATGCAGTTAAGGATTCCAATATAGACAATCAACCTTGCCCAGACATATCAAGGAATAACAAGACAAATCGAAGCTGTCCCATTGGATACGGATGATACAGGAGCATTCAGCCTATAATAAAACATTTTTTGTGCTGACAAAAAAAGTCCAACTGACAGTGTTAGATCCATAAATTCGCAAAAGACTGATCAAACTAGAAATATGATTCTTATCTTTGGAAGCACCTAGGCACAAATGAATGGAATTGCTGTTGTATAGACTAGGGCCACATTTCAAGGAATTGGTCCATGATAGTGGGATCATGTTCAAGAAAGAGGAGGGAGGCTTGTGCATGGATAAAATTGAGCAGGGAATTCTTAAATTGAATTTTGATGGCAACAGTGTTGGAAATCCGGGGTCTTCCGGTATAAGGGGCATGTTCAGAAATAAAGAGGGAAATTTAGTTGCAATATATTTGGGCCCAATTGGTAATGGGGACTCAACAAGGACTGAATTATAGACTGTGGAAATGGGTGTGTCCAACCTAATTACAGAAAAAAAAAAAAGTGCTAATAAGCTAGTTGATGAATGAGGAAAAAGCTATTTGAGCATACAGAAATCCGATGAAGTGAAGTTCTTGACTAGCAACATACAAACTAAGGTCCAATGAGTTAGTAGATAGCTGGTTCTATGCTCCATTGGGTTTTCTGGCCTGAATTGCAAAATGTGTATTGGAGGAGATAGCTGGTGCGATGCTCCATTGGGTTATCTCTTATGCTGGATTATCTTCAAAGTTGCATACTTTTTGTAAAATGTGTATTGGGGGAGATAGCTGGTGCTATGCTCCATTGGGTTATCTCTTATGTTGGATTATCATCTTCAAAGTTGCATATTTTTTCTAATATGTTTCTGTTAATCAAAAGGTAAAAGTATTGATCCAAAAAAAAAATTATAACACAATAAACAAAGTATACCATGCACTAGAAACTTGTTTAAAGATATCATTCTTTCCATCTGTGTTTTAAAAGTGCAAAGGCCATTTTGTGTTCAAGGTGCAAGGCAAGGCACGCACTTTTTGAAGCAAGGCACAAAGTTAAAAAAAAAATCCCAAAAAATGGCAAAAAATGTAAATAAATCAAAATAAATTAAGAAAGTATTAAAAATAGTATTAATTAAAAAACCAAACATTAATTTGAAATAATACTTATTCATATTAAAATATATGTTTTAAAAAGCTTAATGATTTTAAAAAAAATGTTTTAAAAAGCGTATTAACTCAAATTAAAAGTGAATTATGCAAAAACAAAATAAAAAATAGCATACAAAACAGCTCAGACTAAAAAGACAGGAGGCCAAGTTGAAGTTTGACAAATTGGCAGTGGTGGGAGAAATTAAATGGAGGCAAAGAGCCAAAGTAGCTTGGCTGAAAGAGGGGGATAGGAATACACATTTTTTTCACAAAATGGAAAATGCTAGAGCTAGAGCTTCTGTAATTACTAGATTGGAGGGGGAGGGCAAGGTAGGTATCACTGAGACTGATATGAAGTTTGTGGCAACAGATTTTTACAAGAAGCTGTATAAGGAATCTTGGTCTTTCAGACCTTTTCCTAGATCCCTTCCTTTTAACAAGTTGAACGAGGAGCAATCTTCCCTTATTGAGGGTCCCTTCTCTAAGGAGGAAATCAATGAAGCTATCAAGTCGTTGACTGATGAGAAGTCTCCTAGCCCCGATGGTCTTAAAAATCTCTTTTATATTAAATGCTGGGATGTGGTGAGACAAGACATCATGAATGTTTTCCAAGATTTTTTTGAGAGGGGTTCTTTGCAGAGAAGCCTGAAAGATTCATCACCCTTATTCCAAAGATTGAAGGTGCTGTGAATATTAGGGATTTCAGGCCGATTAGCCTTCTACATAGTTTCTATAAAATCCTAGCTAAAGTGCTTGCTGAAAGATTAAAAGGAGTACTTGGTAGTGTCATCTCAAACAACCAAAGTGCTTTTATTCCAGGTAGGCAGATGCTAGATTCGGTTCTTATTGCCAATGAGCTCATTCATTCAAGGAAAAAAGAAGGTTTCCCTGGTTTGATCTATAAACTTGACATTGAGAAGGCCTATGATCATGTTAACTGGAGATGTGTGGACCTTGTACTTCATCAGATGAATTTTGGGCAGAAATGGAGAAATTGGATTAAAGTCTGTATCACTTCTCCAAAGTTCTCAGTCCTGGTAAATGGGCAGGCTGCAGGTTTCTTTGACAGTTCCAAGGGCCTTAGGCAGGGAGACCCCTCATCTCCTCTTCTTTTTATATGTGTAATGGAGATCCTTACTCTGTTCTATAAGAAGGCTGCAATCTTGGGAGAATGGGATGGATTTGCAATTGTTCCAGGGGGAGAGAAGGTGAATATTCTTCAATTTGCAAATGATACTCTATGTTTTGTGGATGCCTCCCCCTCTCAGGTGGAGCTAATCCTTGGGATTTTGTGTTGGTTTGAAGTGATTATAGGGCTAAAAGTAAATTGGAACAAGAGCCAAATTATCCCAGTTGGCCAAGTGTCTAATTTAGCTGAGTGTGCTGGTATTTTGGCTTGTCAGATTGAGTCCCTCCCAGTTAAATATTTGGGTCTCCCGTTAGGGGTGAGTGGTGGTTCCTTTGCAATTTGGGACCCAGTTATTGAGAGATTGGAAAGGAAGTTGGCTTCTTGGAAGGCAAAATATCTCTCTTTTGGGGGGAGGGTGACTCTGATTAAGAGTACTCTCTCCAATTTGCCTACCTACTTCTTGTCACTTTTCTATATTCCTAAGAAGGTTACAAATCAGATCGAAAAGCTTCAAAGGAATTTTCTTTGGAAAGGCTGGGAGGAGGAGAAAAAAGTGCACTTAGTGAGTTGGGAGCAAGTGTGCCTCCCTAAATCTGAAGGGGGGTTAGGTATAAGGAAGCTGAAAATTTTTAACTCTTCTCTTCTTTGTAAATGGATCTGGAGATTTTCTGTAGAGCCTGATGCGTGGTGATCTCTCATTGCCAGTAAATATGGTGAGTTGGGGAAATTGGAGAACTAGGGATCCTCCTCCTAACTGGGGTAACTCTGTGGAAAGGGATAATGAAGACCTACTCCGATTTGGCCAGGGGAGTCTCAATTAGGGTGGGTAATGGTAACAGGACCAAATTCTAGAAGGACCTTTGGTGCTCTGATGTTCCTCTTGCTGAGTCCTTCCCGCTCCAATTTCAGTGTGCTTCAGATCAAGAAGCCTCAGTTGCTGAGTGCTATAATATTTCGGGTGGTTCAGTTCTTTGGACTCCCTCTTTTCGAAGGAATCTTTTTGATTGGGAGGTGGAAGAGGCAGTGAATCTCTTGTCCTGTCTCCAAAATCAGTTTCTGGATTATGATTTGGAGGACAAGTGGCTTTGGAGGTGGAATTCTGATGGTCTGTTTCTGTAAAATCCTTGGCTGCTTTGATAGGTAGGAGGGGTGGGCCTGATTTCCCAGCTCGGCAAGTATGGAATCCAACCAGCCCAACAAAAGCCTGCTTCCTAGTTTGGACTATGGCTTTAAATAAATCACTAAGGAAAATCTAGTGAGAAGGGGCATCCAGGTTTCAGACTTGTCTTGCAGTTTATGTGGTTGCAATGCTGAGTCCACTGATCATTTGTGCATCCACTGCCCGTTTTCTGCTCATTTGTGGAATCATCTCCTCAACATCGTGAAGGTTAGCTGGGTGATGCTGAGGTCGGTTAAAGAGTTGTTAAGTTGCTGGCAGATTAGGGGTTTGAGCAAGAAAAAGAAGACACTCTGGAAGCTGATTCCAATCGTGGTAATCTGGTGCACCTGGACCGAGAGGAATAGAAGAGTTTTTAATAATAAGTCTCTTAGTCCAGAGGACCTATCTCAGAAGTTAGTGGACAAGCTGATTTCTTGGCTGTCTGTGGCTGCAGAGTTTAGAAACTGTAATGTGTCAGATGTTTTATTTTCTGTTTCTTGATGGTTTATGTATTTGCTGTTTTAGATCAGTCAGCCTATTCTGGGACTGATCTCAGCCTCCTGTGTGTATCTCTTTCTCAATAAGTATTACTTTACCTTTTCCAAAAAAAAAAAAAAAGCATACAAAACAAGGTTTCTATTCAGGTAAATAGGTTGGGGTCCCACATTCTTCTGTCCTCAAGATCCAAGATGATAGTTATATTTTGAATTTTCACTAATAACTTCAATGTTTAAATTAAAAAAAAAATAAGGTTTCATAGACTGTTTATATGACTAAAATATCCAAAATATATGAATAACCAGGAATCTTACTTTTTTTATCAGTAGAAAAGTGATTTTATAAATATTTGGAATGAAGAAATAGTAAGTATAACTTTTTAGCCACTTTGCCATTTCAGATTACATGGATGCCCAAAACAGTTCTTGCCTCATAGCCCCTTGTTTAGCTAGGGTGTCAGCTAAACCATTTGCCAATCTATAATTGATTACTACTTAGGAACCTTACTATTTTTTACCAATCTAAAATTGACTACTCAATGAAAATACAATTAAAATTACATTCTCATATACAAAATTTATAAGATTAAATCTCTAATATGTCCTGTGCTTTAAAAGGCCTTAAGAGTTATCCATTCTTACTTAGAAACTTAATAATATTAATCTTTTATATCTTTCCTGACATTAAAAGTCCTAATACTAATGTATAGAAACTATCTCCAATTTTAAGAGTTACCTATTCTTTCTTTTCCTTTTTTTCAAAAAGAGAATTGAAAAATTTTATTAAAGCATAGACAACACAACAGAATAGACAGATCATAAACAACACAACACAGAAAAGCTCAGTGGAGTCAAGCCTTGCATCTCCATTCTTAAAATTTCCTCCAGAAAATTGAACACATGAGATAAAAATGTAATGGGAATAAAAGGAAAATTAATGATAGAGAATAGATGTAATGGGATATCACCCTATGTACAAAAGTTTCAGCTGGACACAAGTACATGGGGCAGTTTTGTAACAGCTGAAGTGGTCGATGACTTGAATGTTTTTTAGTAGATATAATAGCCATATAACCATTACCCAACATCTCATTCATCCATTAGGGAGCTCAAATCTACTCAGTCACTTGAGCTCTTATCAAACAGTCCCTTGGCCTAAAATATTATCAACAAACTACAAGATAATTTGGCCTTTAAGCTTTGTTTTAGTATCAGAGCTTCAGATCCTAACTACAACAGCATATATACCATATCTGATAATAAAAATGATGTAAAAATATTATCTAGAGCACATGATAATTTAGGAGTAATTACCCATATATTCTCACCATGTACAAAAATGAAATCTTTTACATGCTTCATGTCCAAATCACGTAGACTGATCACATATGATGATTCAACCCTAGCAGAGATGGTACTTCCAGAACCACTAGCCTCATCATCCCCAGCAAAACCATATCCAGCCTAATAAAGCAATGAAATTCATAAAATCCAATGATTATAAAGAATAAAGCATCATAGATAAATTAACTCATCAAATCACAGCCCTTATTTCTGTCAACCTTCAAAATCAGTGAACTACGCCCATGTCTTTTTTTAACAGGTCTAGAGAAAGATAAAGTAATGAATTTTATTAATAAACTACACCCATGTCTTCCTGAAAGACTCAATTTGATCAATTGTAAGTTTGTACCACAAACTGATCTCAAATCAAAATGTCCGTCAAAGATAATGGATTGCTCAGTTTGGTATTATCACCAAGAAGGCAAATATTAGACACATTCAAGGTTTGCAATTTCGATTTAAATGGAAACTTCCATACTTCAACAAGCAAAATTTTCCACAATTATTCCAGAAATTTTGAAATTAAGTATGAGCTTCCCTTTTGGGGGCACGACCAGTGAAAATGTGTTGCAAGTGTTGACTGCTGAACTTGAGAAACGTAATCATTCACATGATTAATAATCAAAAAACAAAACACTACTGAGAAACTTTTCAAATACACACAATAATATGATTTAAGGAACAAAAATACTAAATAAACCAAGGTATATGCCCACTTTTTTATAATCAAATAAAAGATTTTATTAACTAACAGTACACTGATTGTTCATTACAACTAGGGGTGCAACTTTAGTTGGGTTGGACTGGGAATTTCTTAAGTTTTTAATGGGCCCAAGCCTGATGTAGTTGAAATTCTCCAACTTGGGGCAACCCAACTTATGGCCCTAATTACAACAAAACAACATAGTCACTCAGGTGGATTTAATCATCAGATCATTCAAGAAATAAAAGATTTTGCCCTTTGGGCAACACTATGCACTACACCATTTAAGTTTCTATTTACATGAACAAAGTTGATCCTATCTTTTGTTCGGATGAATAATAAAGCATTTCATTAAAAACTATTTAAGATAGGTTTACAACTGAGACAGAATTTAGTTTTCCCAAGAACCGCGAGATGCAGCCTCAAAAACAATATAAATTACAATGTAGCCCAAAATAATTGACCACTATTCACCCCTTGTTTAGCTAGTAGGTCTGCAGCCCATTCGCCGATCTTCTCTCCCACTGAACTATGACTGTTATATTAGAAGTTAGCCATTTGAATCTTTTCAATGCCCCCCTGAAAGACCAAGCTGCTGTCTCTGGTTCTTTCAACCACCCTATTACCACTTTGGAGTCTCCTTCTATAACCAGATTTCTGAGGTTCATCTCTTTAGCGATTTGAGCCCCCTGTAAAACAGCTTGAACCTCTGCACTAACTGCATCTCCCACTCCAATTGGACCAGAGAATAAAGCCACTATCTGGCCCTCTGCATTCCTGAATACTCCACAATCCCAGAGGGCCCAGGATTACCAAGGCTGCTTCCATCAAAGTTTATTTTTGTGAAGCTTTCTTCCGGAGGCTTCCAGGTTATAAAAGGTTTGTCCTTGACAAAAGAAGCTTTATCAGCAACTAATTCCCAATTTCTCCATATGTCATCAAAGGAGAAAAGTGAAAAAAGGTCCATAGCTTTAGCCCAGCTAATAGCCCTAAACAGCAGACATTCCCACACAGAATCCTCATCCCTATCTTTATCATTAAAAACTCTGTTATTCCTTTCCTCCCAAACTGTCCAAACAAAAGTAGCCCTAATACACCTCCATAAGACCCTCCCTCTTTTCTTAGGCCACCTGAAAGTTGTGGGGTCAAAAAGCCCCCCAATTTGCAAACGCCTCCTCCACCTGCACCCAAAAAGCAGGTGCTAACAGCTCTCTCCATTTGCTTTGCAAAGGAAACACCAATTTTAGGAGATATAAAGGTAGGGTCTTTTCTTTTGTAGGTTATCCAAGGTGTTTAATTTCCCAAGGGAGGCTTCCCAACAAAGGGCTCTAACCTTAGAGGGAATGGGTTTAGAACAGATTTCCTTACAAAAGAAAGGCTGAGGGTTAGGGACAGAACACAACTGAGAGAACAGATTTCCCACCAAGAGACTTCTGGTTTATGGCTTTCTTGCTCGCTCCACTTCTTCTATACACCCTCTTATATTTACTGTAAGGGCCAGCTCCGACCAGCCCTTCTTTCAAACAGGAGAAGACCTTCATTACATGATCCAGGTGAGATTTAAGAGAACCCCTACGTTTCTTTGCATCCTCCACTCCTTCATTAGGGTCAACAGAGACTGTTAAATCCTTACCCAAATCAACTCCAATCTTACCCATTATCCCTTCTTCAACCACTAAATTCTCCAAACTCCTCTGAGAAAATGCACACTTCTCCACACCAACATGGCCAAGCTTAAACGCATCATCCTAGACTTCCAAAACTTGCGACACCACACCATGAGAGGGAGAGGGGCAAGCAAGAATGTCATGAGAACGTGACAATCTTACTTTAGGACACAAGGTCACAAGAACCATAGAACTTACCTCTGGAACATTTGAACATAGTTCTCATAGTATCTCCCAGTCATCACCTAGGCAACTAGGCGCCCATCTAGGTGATTGGCATCTGCCTAGGCAACAAAAAATGATAAGATGGGAGTCTTATTATAATGTCATTCATATTGTTACATCTTACTAATATGCATTTTAAATTAATATTATCATATATTGTATGTATCATTTATACTTATTTTTAAAGTTTTATACTTGAAATTTAAAAGATATGAGACGCAGCCGCGCAATGAGCACAAGTCGTTCTATTCTTTCACCATTTACTAAAGAATACCGTGTGCTCGTCACTTAATGCAGCATACACCTATTTTTGGAGGGCTTTTCTCTTTTTTGAGAAGGTCCAAACAAAGGCAAGGTGCCAACGAGCAGGTTGGTTAGGTCTCCTGCTGGTCGTAGCAGAGACATGGGATCGAAACCCGCCTGCACCTGGGTTGGGGGATGGGCTACCCCCCCCCCGGTTCTGTAGCCCTTCAAAAGAAATTAAAAGATATGAGGCTTTTGAGAAGAGAAAAAGAAAGAAAGAAAGAATTGAAATTTGGAATACTAATGTCCTAAATATGATGTTCAACATGTTTTTAGAGGAAATGTAATGTTCATAATAAAGAGACAATATTTTTAAAATTAATATGCATGCCGAATGGTATTTACTTCACAAAATTCTTATCAGCACCTAGGCAACTAGGAACCCCCGTGTCCACAAGAATCTCCTAGACACCTTGACATCGATGAATTGTAGACAAAATTAAAACTCACTTTCAATTGTGCATTATATCTAAATTATACAGGCTGTCCTTTTACCATATTCCGTTTTGGCTTATTGGCTCAGCAACACTGATAGTATTTTTCATTCTTTTCTGTTTTTTTTTCTTTTTTCTTCTGAATAACCATCACTGGATTTCGTTTAGATCTTATTATCAAGAAAGCTCAGGAGAAAGGGTCCTATTCCATGTCAAAGTCAAATAACTGAACTAAGTTATTAAATTGCATCTCCTTTAGAGAACAGAATAAAATCAAGTCTGAAAGCTGATCAGAATAGAAAGATAGAATATATAGAGAAAAAGGCACCTGAGCAGACTTAAGTATTATCATTTGCAGATCATAAACAAGCACCCCACCACACCGGCCCTGAGGATCGACCTTTACAATTGGACCTCTAGCAAATGATTCCCGGCCTCTTTTCAAATAATGCCACTCTGGACCCTCAAAACAGTGCATAGAACTGCTCAAGGGATGATGTAACATATTTTTATTAAGTGAACAAGACAATTACTTTACAACAAGGTAAAAACAAACCAACAGGATAAAAATAATAAACAAAACATAAGTAAAGAACAAAAACCAATATGATGAAATAACAACTAGTATTGCATCATAGCCATCCCTCAATAAGAGAATGCAATAACAAATCCAACAATTAATCGAAAACAGACAATTTATTAAAAGGAAATCGAGAAGCAGAAAACAATTGCAAGGCATCATTATAATAACAGTTAGCAAGAAGAAAAAAGTAACATACATGCGCAATATTAAATATTAGAATTTTTGGGCTCATCGATTATGCCTATATTTCATAAGAATCTTGGTGAAGCTTTTTGCTCCTCATAATAATAAAGAATGACAATGGCTGGGATGTTGAATTAACTTCAGAAGCTACAGTCAAATCCCATGGAAAGCTATTTCAGCCCTTTCACCTAAGTTTTTAGCCCACACTAGATTTGATGCTTCCTCTAGAGACAAAACAAGATTCTAGGAAGACCTGTGGGGGGAAGGTTTGCCTTGTATACAGACAATACAACACAGATAGAGAGACAGCAAAGGGAAACCCAAAATGCTCTTAAAAGGATCAAACACCACTAACACCCAACACAAGGCAATACAAGGTTTAAGATGGGTTATGAAGCCGAAATGGCAAAAATAGATTGATGTAAGCAATCAGTCTAAAGCAGTAAAGAAGTTAAGGATGAAGTGACAAGGAATAATGGGTTAAGGAGGATTGGTATTAAACTGGAAAAAACCACAAAGCCTTCAGCTTGCATGTTTTGAGCAATGTTTTGAAAATCATAATCGTACTGTAAATCGTAGAGAAAGCTGAATCAAATCAAATCGTCAACCGTATCGTAAATCGTAAGATTATTTCTATTTTTTACAAACTTGTCAAAAATTAAATATAGATAATGTTAATAGGCTAAATATATATAGGAAAAGTGACTTTACTCTATTTTTTATCTATATCTACCATATATGTACTTAAAACAATACAATTCAGCATTTATACAATAGAAGCCTAAAATGATATAATCAAGTTGGACTTGAAAATCAAACAAATCTACATACAATGGCTCTTTAACCTACATATGATGGAAAATAAACTCAATTTCTTGTCTTAAATAGTGTAAATAAATAGTTTTCTAGTAAGAACTTTAAAAAAAGTCTCCCTTTGGCAAAACTAAATATAAACAAAAAAAACTAAGTAGAGAACTAATACTTAATTGAGTTTATTTGAATCGTAGTTAATTGTAGAAATCGTATAAATTGTAAGATTTATGAAATAAGTCGTAGGACTCAAACAAAAATTGTCAGTTTTTGCAGAAAAGGATTTAGACATAAGATTTGAATCAAAACCCTTGGGGTTCATGGTTTGAATTGTGAATCGTATCGTAAATCGTAAGATTTTGACAATATTGGTTTTGAGACTTACCTTAAGTGTACCTAGCAAAAGGATTGGGTAGGACTACAAAGTATGTGAAGAATCAAGAAAAGAAAGGAAAACAAATAAATTATGTTGTATAAGGACCACAGAAACTTATCAATAGAAACAATTAGTTAAGAACATTTTGGGTCCTTGATCCATGATAGAAAATTTTCAAACTTTAAGAATTCTCGATGAAATTTTTCATTAAATGTTAATCATTTTATTAATTTTTCATTACCCAATGTTAGTCCCAACCATTCAGGCTCTTGGGAAGGGTGGATTAGATACAGCCCTAATCATTGACATCCTTTGAATAAAACAGTAGTTCTCAGATCAGATGCATGTCCCGAAGCTTGTCAGACTGAGATTTTACCATTGCAACAAGCAATGCCCCCGTATTAAATGTAATTATTTTATTAGTATTTAATAATTTATAGCATTCTTACATTAATATTAATGATTTTATTTGATAAGTTATATTTATATTATTGATCTCATCTAGAAATAAATAATATTTTGAAATTTTGGGTAAAATACATAGCTAAAACCCAAATTTATAGCCAAATGTCCAAGTTTTCAACCAATCTGCCTGATATATTTTATAAATCAATTCAGTAATGTTGTCCAATGAAGAATAACAATCAATAAGAAAACAAATATGAAAATAATAACACATTAGTTTAGTAAACTACGATAAAACAAATAAATACATGCTCTAAACTAAATATAGGCCCTAATGGATTTAGCACTACTAGGTCTCTTGAGGAATCAGCAGCAATATATGGAGTCAACACCTTCATAACTTTGGAGTCAGCACCAAACACATCAACAGAGAACACATTTCATTTTCTTTCTTTTTTTATGAGTCAGGAAAAACTCTTCATTCATTCATTCAATCAATAGTTCATATAAGCTAAAGGAGTATTTATGGGAAAACACAATGGATCTTCCAAGATATAAAAACTTTTTATTTTCCTAAACATAGAACTAAAAACACTTACAACAAAAAAAAAATATTCAAAATATCCTGGAGATCCACCTTTAGGCAGCATATATTGAAAATGTAAACAAAGATTTGAATAAGAAAATTAAATCCAAATCACGTGGGTTCCACTTGACTTGACGACTAACTTATTGGACATTCTAGAAAAGGCTGAACTTTATTCATTTTAGAGTTTAAACTCAATCCAAAGACATATTAGGTTTAGGCCTACTATTGCAACTTATTAGGCCCATGAAATAGGATTGGATTTACGTGAATTTGTGGAAACCCAATTGTTGGCTGATCATGATTCATGATAGGCTGATAGCGAAATGAAGGCCTATAAAGACTAATAGGAAAGTATAGATTTGGCTTCCCTTTTCTTAGACTTTTTTCCCACATTATAGGTCTATCCCGAATGGAGATATATGATGACTCAAAATGATCAAATGGATGAAGAAAGCTGGGGAAGGCCTATGGCTACATCAAAGAGGCTACATCTCTGAATCCTAACATGAAAACCTTGTTCAGAAGGATCCAAAGATCAAAAAATTCATTGATTGACCATTTGTCAAGAATATGCATTAATGGGGAACAAAGAGAAGGGCATTTGAACTTCATGCTTATTTTTGTAGTTTTACAAGCTTCACTGGGTTGTAACCATACTGTAATGAGGCCAATAGGGTTTTGTCCTTTATTTACATGGTTGCTATGGCTACCCTTTTATTCCTCAGCATTTTTTATGAATTGTATTCCTAAACATTTTCTTCTTTAACAAAATTCATTGTCATCAATTACAAAAAAAAAAATGAAAATCATTATGGATGTCCCATTGTGATCCAATTATTCATGTAAGACAGGGGAAGGAGGTGAGGCACGGAATGAGGAGGGTGATGGAAATGAAGAACTGCCCGAAGGAGATGATTAAGGAGGATGTAATTTTGGAAGGCTGCGTTATTTTCTGCTTTGAGTATGGATGTTGGTCATTATTTTTGTATGATTGGGTGTTATTTTAACACCTCGTTCCACCTGTACTCTGTTTCTTTTTTTACTTTTGCTCTTCAAAAAAAAAAATATTCATGCAAGCTTTTTCTTTGTGCAGAGCTCAAAATCAGTTTAAATGCACATCTAACAATAACATTCACACATAAAGGAAAAACCCTCTGTTAACTTACTCCAATACTTTCATCTCACCATGCAAGCTTTTTCTTTGTGCAGAGCTCAAAATCAGTATAAATGCACATCTAACAACAACATTCACACATAAAGGAAAAAACCTCCGTTAACTTACTTCAATACTTTCATCTCACCTTATGCAAAGTCCATGTATTGAATCATCAAATTCAAGCACTGAAATTTTTGCATCTTGAAATGCTAAGATTATTGAGTCCCTCTTTCTACTACCATCACCACCACCCATGGACAACACTGCCATTGTTTCAACATTACCATGCAACCTAAAAAAACATTAAGAAGTTTGATGAATAGAACAAATCAACTATATTTCCAAAAATCAAATATAAAGATGAATTTATCTATCCGAGCAGAAGCAGAGTGGAGGTTCCTGTTGCAGCCTTGGCAACCCTGGAGCCTCTGGCATTGGAGTGTCACTAGAGATGGTAATGACAACATCATTCTTAGCTTCTCAAGGCTAGTGGGTGTTGGTAATTTGGTAAGAACGGAAACTACAGCTCTAACTAAAGGCTTACAGCTGTCATCATCTCTTTGATGGAGATAATAAGTTGTGCATAGGGACTGTCGAGTGTTAATTAACTGGTTACAGTCTGATAAGGAGATAATACCCTTGCAAACCAAGTAAACAGAAAAAGAAGTTAACAGGGACAACTGTGACTGAGGAAGGTGAGGCTTGGCTAACTGGCTTTAACTTATAATTCTGCTTTTATCAAACTAGTAAGCAGACTCAGCACAATACCATTCTCTCCCTCCCTCCTTCCTGAGCTGCTTTTATCGTCCAGTATATGCATTCGTATACTTGTTTATTTATTATGAGGAAAAATTTAAAACGAAGGCAATCATAGTCTTCATCTGGGTAGCAGATGCACTAAAGAGAATGACAACGAAAGCAGCTCAGGAAGGTCTAATTGAAGGTCTTCGGGTGGGAGGAAAGTCGCATAAGTACTTTGCTCTTAGCAATTTTCGAGTAAAATAAGACTAAGGAAAATGTTCTTTCTACAGCGAAATATCCCAACAAGATTCATGAAATATGAAACCATCATAGTCATGTTTTATCCGAATAAAGCATCAAACCCAATTGCGCTAAAATGTGGGTAAAGTAGTAACTGAAATTACGGTAAAACTGACTAAATAAACACGAGCTTACTTGTAACTGCAAACAAGCTCGAGCGAAGCACCCGATAACCCAGCCATGACACCACCACGTTTGGCTTCTGTGGATGAACGAGAAGATCGGTTGTCCTCCTCCTGTACTCTAACGACATAAACCTCGAGAATGTTACCAGCAGTTACAACGAGATTCGGAATTGGTCCGGTTTCTTTCCTTGCGGTCCACTCAGACTCGAATTCGTCTGTTTGGAGAGGAGGAAGTTTGGGGGCAGCATCAGCACTCGAGTGGGTGATGAATCCGGCCACGCAGTTCTCGATTCCGGTCGCCCAGTGCATCACTTTAAACGCAGCGTAACTCATCTTTTCTTGTCAAGCGATTTCGAAGAGCTTGACAATATGAGAACCAGAGAGAGAGAGAGAGAGAGACGCTTTGGGAGTAGTTGAGTAAAATCAATCGAGCGGGGGATTGGCGGGAGTAGACAATTGGAACCTGCGGTTTAGGGCAGAAGCTCAATTACGAAAACGGGCATAGACGCATAGCTGGTCCCGTCTTATATCTACTATCTAGATTTGGAACAATGGGACATAGGGTTCAATCCGAACCGAGGGTGGCTCGGGTCCGGATGAGGCGACATCGGGAAACATATACAAATATACATACCTTCATAGTTTCATATCCTAACCTTTTAGAAATATAATACTTAAATCAAATTCTACTAAACATAACACTAGAATAGAATTATAAAAATGCCCATATTTAGATTCTCTTATTTCATTGTTTTTAGCCGTTCAATTCAAATGCTTTTTCTTCTTCCTTTTAAGATAAGAAGTATAAATATCAAAGATGAGTTTCGGACCAAAAAAGAGTAAAATAAAAATACGAGAAGATTGGTAAAAAACTTTAAACTTGATTTCCTCAGATATTTGACTAAGAGGAAAAAAAAGGATAAAGAATATTAGTTGCAGAAAGGGTTAACGTGCATTCTCAGATGGAGCCATTAAAGAAAAAAAAATTAAAAAAAAAAATAGTGAACTAGGGACAGGATCACAAAGGAGCAAGATTACCTTGGAGGATTCATGATTGTGATACTTTATGGATTTTTGGGTGAAAATTATAGAATTGGAAATGTCATCCAGAGAGCCCGATAGGCCAATCTCATTGGTTCAAGCTCTTGAAACCCTATCCCAACATTCTCATTTACTTGTAATTTTATTACTAGTTAGGACCATGCGATGCATGGGTTTTATTTTCATAACTTAAAATTGAGGATAGAGTTTTACGACATTTCCAATAAAGTGGTTCCCATATAAGTCAAAATCACGGATTTTTTTTGGGTTATTTATAGTATATTCGGTCATAATTTAAGTTGCACTTTACTAAGAGTGCTAATTTCCTATGCTCTAGATAAATTTGTATTGTTTTTTGTCTCTTAATAATAGTTTTGTATTAATTTTTATTGGATTGTTATTATTTTTGTATTATTTTTAGGTAACCAACGGGTTGGTTAGGTTTCCTTTCTCTTGACTTTTTGGTAACAAAAACAATGAATTTTCCAAAATACTCATATAATCATTAAGCTATTTTCATACACAAATTTAAAGTTTCAACTTTACCTCCACTATTCTATTTCGTTTGACAACTTTCAAAGAGTAATTCTCCAATAGTCTTCTTTGACAAAGTAAGGTAAAAAGGCTAAAGTGACGTAAAGGAAAGCAAATCATTTTTTCAAGGTATTTTACTAAATTTATATGTAAACGAAATTGGTTAAAGGTAAATTTTGCACTTAAATAAATCAATACATTTCATCACCATTTTTTGTTTGGAATCCTATTGAAAGGAAGGTATTTGCACATTTTTCAAACACAATAGTGGAGGTTTTTGTTAAAGTCAAAACATGGGAGAGTTTTATACGACTATTATAAAACCCAATGAGGTTTTTATAATTTTCCGCTACAAGAAAAATGACTTTTAGCAGCAGTTAAAAGTCTCTAAAACTATCGCTAGAGACTTTACCGACAGACGGTAAATTGTTGCTAAAAGCACTATTGCTAGACGTTCTATCAACAATTTTCTCGGCTACTAGTATAAATTTTAAACTGGCGCTAATACTGAATTGGCTGCCACTATAAGTTTGGCGCATGCTTTTTTAGCGACAATCATGGACTTCTTTAGCGGTAGTCATGACTTAAATGTAAAGCATATAACAAATGATGCTTCTTGAAAACATGGATAACTTCAATTTCAAAGAACATCTTTAAAATCCTCACTCGTGACCCATTTGAAGCTCAAACTTTTGAGGTCCAGTCTTAGATAAGGATAGGGAAGTGGTACGTGTCTCTTTTTCACTAGCACCAACAATAACAGTTCTATCCATGCGACTCTTTGTATTCATATCATCCATTACCTTTCTCAATCCTATGAAACAAGATTCAAATGAAATCATAAAATAATCCATCCAAAGCAGTGCTTATTTCATCAAGTAATGATTATATTGCTCCATTTACCAGCAATTACAGGCTTCCCCGAATTGATTTCTCGAAATACAGTTGACATTCCTTCCTTTGGACATGATGATGAAGAACTAGAAGATTCAGAAGTGAAGAGGGAAGCTGGTGGCATTTGGCATAGAAGTTTTTTACTGTGCGGATGCCAAGCCACTGACAACCATTTTTCCAGTAGGATTCCATATTGGACCCAAATAACATAAACTCTTAACACAATCCCTCAAACCTAGTAAATAGAGCTCCTTCAAAGCTTTCCACTCTACATGATTAGGGTCTTTACTTTTATACTCCACTATAACCTGAGTTAAATTAAATGTGGAATGTGAGAATTAACCTATTGAGTTCATATAACCCATGTACATTTATTTCCTTGTCAATAAACATAAGTAGAGTGAAAATGATAGATTTGAGAGAAACCACCACAGGACTAAACGATGCCACTGCCCATAAATCAAATGGAAACTTAAAAAGGCATAGGATACCAACAATATGACAATACAAAGAGTTGAGCTCTTTTTTATCAATGTTTTAATATGAACATATACTATTAAGTATTAATGTTAGAGATAAAACAAAATTTTGATAACACTATAAAATATAGCACAAATGATTTTCATGATTTGTATGGCCACATTGTTGTTGTGTGGTAGTAAATTATTATAATTCACATCACCCTGAAAATACCTTTATTGTTGTAGAACTTAGCCATTTGCCAACTCTCTTCCACATGTGCAATAGGAAGACTCATACCTTGAAAAAAAAAGGCAAGAAAATGAAGTTAGTAAACTGAAAATAGATCCTTTTAGCACACAAACATTAGTAAAAAAATCTCTCACCGCAATCATGGTCTAAGTAGGCAATCCAAGCAGCTAAGGCTGTGAGATTGTCAGCAGTAGTCTTCAAGTAATTGAAGAAATTAGGTCATCCTTCAATCAATGCATTTGTCTTCATGATGAGATCTTTTAATGGCTTGAGAAATTCTGCTAGACCTGCAATGTTAGGTTTTTGTAACACACAAGAGCAAACCAAAATTAAACAATACAGTAAGGTAGACAAGAAGAACTGCATATTGCATGTGTGTGTGAATGGTTACTTATTTTGCAAGGTGCCAACCAGCAAGTTGGTAAGATCTCTTGCTAGTCGTAGCGGAGACTTGGGATCAAATCCCACCTGCACCTGGGTTGGGGGATGGGCTACCCCCCCGCTGTGTATCCCTTTAAAAGATATAAAGAAAAGGTTGTTTATTTTATTTCATGTCTATTTTCTGTCAGATTATTTCTTTTCAAGCCTCAGGTGAGTATCTATTGCATGTCCATTCCTTTCATTTCTTTTCAAGCCTAGGTCCAAAACATGACTTTCATATGGAAAATTATTGCACCTATACTCAGGTAATATAGGCTATCGTAACTTAAGATGCTTGCAATATGGTTTGTTTTGTTCATAATTTGCTATAGTTCTTTTGAATAATAGAAATTCACACTTCTCATTTATGAGCCAAGGAGAAACATCAAGTCTAAGTACTAAACTTATAAGTACTCAATTGCAGCTTTAGGCATTTTCCACTAAGTTTGATTTCCAAGATTTAAAATCAAAGTTAAAGGGGCATTTCCACCAACTTTAAGCATTCCTAGAATTTCAACTTCAGAGACTTAAAAGCACATCATGAATACAAGACAAATCATTAACATTTTTCAAAGATATATTCATAATATGGTTAATCTTAAAATTTGATTAGGGTGAGGGGGTGTCATTTTCCATAGAAATATCATCAGAATCCACCTTGCAATAAGATATTATAAGGTCCTGGTCACTTGTGATATAGATGTTGTTTGTATTGCAATTTGGATGCCATAACAAATGATCCTCAAACGAAGTTACAAGCTCCCCACGAAAGTTCCAAACAGCCATTGTTTGATTTCGAAATGTCAAGAATAATTGATTTTCATATAGGAAGATAAATGCTGATGGAGTCATGAATTTGGTTTTGCTAACTTCTATTAGCTCAAAAGTACGAACCTAAAAGAAAACTAGGAAGTTATTACGGATGGAATGTAAGTTTATTAATTAGATTTACTATTCTACATACCGAAATAACAAAGCAAATCTTACATCAAGAATCTAAAGATTCTCATTTTCTTGCTTGATAAGAAGCTTTTCATTGAACTGCTCTATGAAATCCACCTTCTTATTTCAATGAAGAAGATGGCTGAAGGCCTTAAGAATAGTGTTATCCTTTGTTTGATAAAATCTTGAGAGGGACATGGCCACTAGCTCTTGTGAGTATCAACGACATTATTCCTGGACTGTAACAAAAACAATATATGAAATAATAAGCATCCAAAATCACATGCAAGAAATTTACATATACCAACCTATATGATGACCATACAAAGTTGCATCGATTCGAATTTACATATACCAAGTTATGGGTTTCATAGTGACCACATGTTTGGTAAAGCTATGGAAAATTTAAGTCTGTCTCAAAAGTGAAGTCAGATCTCGGCTTAAAAACTCATAAGCTATATCTAAGTCCACATAAGGGTTAAACTCGAGCCTCGGCAGACTACAAGGAAAAAAGAAAAGAAGTGATACACCCCCAACACTCCAAATGAATCTGAACTAGAAGGGGAAAACAATAAGCTTCAACAAGCAAGACTATCAAAGTGTTAGCTTTAATACAACCACGTTTACAGAAAAAGAAAGATAGAAAGAAACAAAGAATCCAAACTAGGCAAATCAAACACACTCTACAAGTCCAACAGAAAGATTAGATTTTATTAAGAGTTAACTAAGGAAAGGTAATGCCGATCACCAGGGATTAAAGGTAATACGGGATTCAATCCAAATCTATTTCTGATTTTTTATTATGATACTTGTACAAGGATGTTGACTCATGCTATGATGCTTCACGCGGTGCATTCGATTGGTCGGGAACCTAACCATGATAGCAAATAAGAAACCATACCAATAAACACATATAGTATGCAAATATTGAAATTGTACTTTGAGACACGTATTACCTATGTGCCTCTCA